CGGTTTAGCTTTGAACACAAGCCGAAAGCTATATAAACCCTGCTGGTCCGCAGTCAGTGTGTGTGTGTGTGCCTTGTATAGAGTGCGAGGGAGTGTGCCTCATTGAGAGGGCGAGTCAGTGTATGCCTCGCATAGAGTGCGAGATAGTCAGTATCGAGTTGGTGTCTCGTCTAGCGAGTCAATCCGTGCGGAGCCGATCGAGTTGACAGCCAGTGCCGAGTGTGTCGTCGAGTGCATCGAAAGAGTCTCGTAATGTATCATGGTTAGGGCATCGCCGAGAGGGCGTGTTGAGCTCCGAGAACGACCGAACCGAAGAGCCAGGAGCTATGCTCTGTGTGTCGTCGAGTGCATCGCGAATTGTAGCGTGGAGTCTCGAGAGTATGTGGAGTTCCGAGAACGACCAAGCAGAGTAGGGAGCTGTACTCTGGTGTTTTGCAGTGAAGCCGTCTCCACCGTTATTACCTGAAAGTGTGAAGGCTGTGTCGCTGAACGTGTCCGCGTGTTTATAACAGTTCGACGACTGTAAAACTGTTTTGGAGCTGTCCTGATGAATACTGGCTAATAAAGCGTGTTTCGATATTCCATCAAGTGCTGTCGTCGTTATTCACTCCAAATCCACACGAACCCCATATGAACGTGAAGGAAGAAAATAACGTATAAACCAAAAGTGTACCACTACACGTTATTTTAATTACCACGACATCACCCCACTGTATAACACCATGCGGATTTCACTAAATGTAAGGTTATGTTTGTTAATAAACCAGTGAGCGCCTGTATTATACATTTTACCATAAATTTGTGCAAGAATAAACTTGATCTTATACATAATTTTATGCTGCAATACTTATAATGCGTTTAGAAAAGAAAAGAATATCAGGTATGTATGAATTACTTAGAGTTTCGAAATTATTTATGTTTTGTTTATCTGGTATATACAGGGTGCGCACTAAAGTTCGGTACCTCCCACTTAACTGCCGAATGGCTGCAGCTATATTTATAAAATAGGTATCTGGTTATACCGAAGTGGATATGCACTACTTGATGAGATAGCTTGCAGCCCCACCTGGAGAAAAACTGCAGAGTTAGCCTCCCTTTCTCGAAAATGATACGAGACAGGAAGAAAAAGTGAAGGACATAGTTGTAGAGCATCGTCGATTTAATACGAATAGACACCTTATGAATATGAATGCTAAAAACAAAAACGCTGAAAACGCACATTCGTTTCTTTGCGAAACTGTGTCGTCACGAAACTTGAACAAAAGGAGAAAAGATTATCTTTCGGATGAAAAACATGGCCGTAATCGCGGCACAGCGATGTCGCATGTAATTCACAGTTGCGAGGAGTGTGGTTCAAACACCATGGGGTGCATCCTTATACTGATTGTCTTTACAAACAGAGATGATAACATACAGATCACGCACAATCGTGTTGCAAAGCGCATCAACTCAACAGAACTTGAGTTTGGTGTGCCAATTTGTGCATTATGCAAATCGTGTATGAAATTTCACACGTGTTACACGTTACAGCTAAGACAGCTGTAAAAGAGATTCTCCTCGTGGTTCTATGTTGAAGCTCATAGTCATGGAGAGATTTTTCAAAAAATGTTTATTGTGAGATGTTTATATTTACAGTGAATGTGAGGGCAAGCTACGATCAGCAGCGTGGTTGCATCGGGAACGTTTTCCTGCAGGCCAGCATACTTCATACAAAACCATCCTACAGGTTCTGAAACGTTTAAGGGAGATAGGCTGCGTGACTAGACGACTTCGATTCGGCAGATCAGCTAAGATAGGGCGGGAAAGTGCAACCGGAAGATGTCTATCATACGATCTCACATATCGAAACAGCAGCGCAAGAGAGATAAATGAAACCTGTGGCCTATCCAAAAGTCATTTAGGAAAATCCTAAATAAATTAGGTGCTCATTTATTCCGAAAAATATCTAACCAGCCATTACTGGACGGGGATGACGAGAGACGTTTCTAAGGATGCAACTTCGTCATGAACCGGATAGAGGTACAGACAACATTCTTGGAAGATATAGTGTGCATGGATGAGGTATGCGTTTTGCGGAATGAAATGTACAATAGTTAGAACACTCATTGGGAACAAGAAAATTCATCATGTTCTGCCAAGATTTGACATCAAATGCAGTTTTCGACATCAAATATGGTCACATCCACCTGGCATGTCTCCAATGGACTTTTTCCTGTGCGGATATCCCAAACAGCAAATGTATGTGACCCCTCCACAAACATTGGAGGACCTTCAACGACGTATTACAAATACTTGTGCAAATGCGTCACCTGCTATACTACAACGTGCTACATGAACTTCTAAGAAGGGTCCAGATATGCATTTCAGCTGCTGGAAAGAAATTTAAGACATCGTCTCGAACAAATAAATGAGCGTTTAAAACTTTCCGTTATGAACATTCATGTCTACGAGGCGCCTTTTTGTACTAAATCGACGATGCTATACAACTTTGTAGTTCACTTTTTCTTCCTATCTCGTATCGTTTTAGAGATAGGGGTTTTTAACCAGGTGGCGCTGAAAGCTATTTCATCTAGTAGCTCATAGCCATATTATTATACCTAGACACCACTTTTATGACTATAGCTGTGGCCGTTCGGCAGTTAAACGGGTGGTACCAGACTTAAGTGAACACCCTGTATATGTACCAACCGGTATTATTACCGGTACATATGAGTATTATAATTTAGAAAAATTACTGTTACAAAACAATGAATTATGCAGCTTTGGGTACGTACAAGGCCAACCGCAATCATCCAATGCATGCATGTCATTCAAATGCATCATGCATAGCCAAATGCAATCCCCTAAGAAAAAACAATGAAAAAATAACAAAACTACAATCATCAACCTTATAATAATAGAAATTGCTTTTGTTTTTGTCTGAAAGTCTGTTATTCATATTGAGGGATGAAAGAGTTAAGCTGGTTTTTAAAAGGCGTCGCACTATCTAACATGAAATTGAATACATATTCAAATTAAGAATAAAGAAGGTTTGTGTGTTTAATTAATGAAATAATATTATGAGCTAACCATAGAAGGGTTATCCTTATCAGGGCAATCTGACAACGGGAAGGCATGTTTTCGTAGAGAATTTTCTATGAAAACGTGCTCTTAATTACATAGCACTTGAGTAAAATCCGAAAATGCTTACACACTTTTGTAAGCTACAAAGAGGCTCGTGCGACCCTTTTGTTGAATTTGTGTTTGATTCCCTAGCTTCGTGATCTTTAAGTTTGCTAGTTTATTTGTTCAAAGAAAAACACATGTTACTCTCTGAACTTCATACGCTAGTCTGAAGGACATTTAAACTCGATGACCAATATTTCTATGACAACAAAAACTTTTTCACTGTACAAGATATTCTAGATTTACTGATTATATCTTTAAGGGAAAAATCTTCAAAAAAATTGGAAGGAAATCTTATGTAACATAAACCTTATGTAAAGAAGAGTTTTCGAAAAATCATCTCTCTTTGAAAAATCATCTGCTAGAAGATCAACTGACGTGAAAGAAAAAAATAGCGTGCGGTAGCCTGTGCTGCATATACAGTGAAACCTCGTTACAACAATATTTTAGGGACCAAATAAATATATTGTTGTAGAGAGGCATATTGTTATATCGAGGCCCATATTTTGAGCATTTAATAAGAGTTTTTTTTTTATTATTATTAAGGTGCATAACATACTACTTTTAAGTCTATATTAAAAGAAATTAATTTGTAAATACTAATAATAGGGTTTAAATGCTAAAAAATAAATAATAAGATAAATTCGAAAATAAGAAGAAATATTACATACTGAAAACACTTTTTGTTGAAAATAATTATATTTATGTTTGTTTATTGATTTTTACTGTTAAGTTCACCAATACTGTAGCATTGAGTCTAGTGCACAAAAATGTTCTTAATTTGTCGACGAAGGCTTGAAAAAAAATGTCCGTAGAGAATTCACAGATTGAAGAGCTTCCTGGGAGACAATAAGGACTGCGATGGATTGTATTATCATCATCATCATCAATATCATCATCATCTTCTCATTGTTTCCTATCTCATCATAATTTCAGAGAGATATCTTCATCAGTAACTCCTGTCAAAAACCATAAGATCATCATCTGCTGTAATAGTCTTCTATACTAATTCCAAACTTTTTACCGCTTGTTTCCTCAAGTGGGTATACGATTTTTTGATGTGCAAAACACATTCTTGATCCATCTGAGAGATCATTGTCTATGGAATTTCTCATTATCAGATTTCTTATCTTCCATAACACAAAAGCGGCCTTTTCCAGCAATTCCGAATGGTTTTTCTGGTTACTTCCACCAACTTCCAGCAATATTGCCCGCTCCTTGACATTTCCAGCTTGAAAAGGTCTTCTACTTTATTTTCAAAGTTTACAAGTATGGAGTCCACACCGTTTTCTGTAAATCCTTTGAAGCACTTAATTATGCCCATATCAAGAGGCTGTAAAATTGAAGTGCAATGGCAGGGAAAAAGCGATTTCGATTTTGTAGCTTGGAAATGACGTGTGAGCACCGCAGTTATCTATCAAAAACGATTTTCTTTCTCTTCTTATTTCATGTCTAACTTCTGTAACCATCGGAAAAAATTTAGACTCATCCAGCCTTCTTATTTGCTTTATACTCAGGAAGCCTTTTCACGTCTTAAAGCACCTTGGTTTCAATGATTTACCATGACGAGAGCGCGACGTGTGATCGGCCTTATCGTGTGGAGAATCAAACGCCCTTGATTACTCGGCGGACGCGTGGACTCGATCCCCAAGCTGCGGAGACTCCAGTGTAAAAGTCCCTGTGAAGTCTGTCCACGAGCAAACAAACCCTTGTGAATCAGCCTACCATAAAAAACCAAAAAAAAAACACTCAGCATGCACTTCACACGCGAGTGCTCATGCGAGCTCTTGGGTTCGGCGAGAAAGCAATCGCCATTCTGAGCTTGACGCTTCGTCTCAGGATGTACTCATAGACCAGGTCTCATCACCAGTAACCACTTTCTCAGGAGTTTCGATCAGATTACCGTTGGAGCATTTCCTGGCAAACTGTCTGCGCCGTTTCTTCTGTTCCATTGACAAAACTTTTGGCACCAGTTTGGCACACACTTTTCGCATCATCAAATTCTCCATCACAATCCTCCACACCGTACTCTGACTGAGTGCCAGTTCATCGGCAATTAGTCTATCACTAAGGCGACGGTCATTGTTTAAAAGTTTCCGCACTCTCTCCACATTTTGATCCGTTCGGCTTGATGATGGCCTCCCAGAGCATTCGTTGTCTTCAACATTTCCGCAGCCACCTTTGAAACGTTTGTGCCACAGGAAAACCATTGCACGGGACATGCCTTCTTCCTTAAAGTCCTCTTGAATCATACCGAGAGTCTCCGTGGCGGTTTTGTTCAGTCGCACGCAAAACTTAATCGCATAACGTTGCTCCAAGTCCTGCCCCATTTTCGCCTCTCCCACTTTTCAACCGAGGTCAATGATACGCACTCACGCTGCAAGCTATGGGCATCCTCCAGGGTTCCGGAGGCAGTACGTTCCCTGAGACCCTCACTACTTCCCTCACCCGCGGAACCGGTCCGCGCGCGCACCCCTACTAAGAAATGAACCAGACTTGAAACTTTTAATTCACACCCTGTATATATGTTATTTTATATAATTTCCACAATGTTTTAATGCTTTGGGATACTTTTGTTTTTTAAAGTTTAATGTTTTTAATATTATTATCATTTTAAGGTATTTTCTTGTTTATTTATAATTGTTTGTTTTTCTTTTGTTATGAGAATTAAACTTTTAATTAGCCTCTGACACTTTGTTTTCCTAACACATAGTACTAGCCCTTTGCTAAAATGCTCATAACTCACTACAATTTACACAGCCAGTCCATTCACTAAGTTTGAAACTGGGAATAAATTCCTGCTTAATCATCCCATTCATAGGTCTTATCGTCTTGATAATTTGCGGAAAATGTTAGATGCTCAATGGACCCTCAACAAATTCGGAGAAAATATCTTCCCTTCGTTTAGCTTCGCTGTTCCTCTCTTCGTAATTTACCACTTCACCGCAATTGAGTTGTAATCCTGAGAAGAGGAGACCCAGTCGAGAAATCCTGGTGGGGACGAATTATCGGATGCCACTTGTAGAATCATGTGATTTTTTTAGAACACTAAACAGGAAAAATCAGTAATGGCGTCTCTATTAGAACTCTGGATATCCCGATTGCTAGCCGGACATGCTCCCAATTACACCCTGAAGACATGCTGTAATTACGAGGAAAATACTTTACCTACTTATAAAATACCTTAAAGCGAAGTTCAAAAGATTACGAAAATGATTTCAGCGCTATGGAAAGACAAATATGTAAATAAAAAAAAAATAAAAAAAAAAGGATCTAATTTGCTACGTGATTCCATTTCATGAAAAGTCAAGTTTACAAAAGGTTCACTAAGCTTCAGTGAATCCAACACAAAAACGTTCAATACATCATAAAATTCGGGAACTAAATTTGATAATATTTTCACTAGATTTAATTAGAAATTATAAAACAAAAATTGCTCGTGTCAGCCATACCAAAAGTTATTTAATTTTCAGTTGTCAGTTTGAAAATATAAATTACACTTGGTAACAAATTTGAACTTTTTGTTAGAACCCTTGATATAAAATACGTTTTTAGATAGATATTACGGTTATAAATGTGAAAACAACAAAAAAATTCAAAAGTTAGATACTGTATTAAATTTCAATACATTTCTAAACACATATTATTTATAAAAACTTATATGAAAGTGCTTTTCTAACACTAAATAGGTTTCCATTTTGCTGCTCAATGCAACACTACATCTGGAACATCTCTAACAAGTGTCCAACAATAATCAGCAAGCATGGAAGGGCTCCATTTTTCCTAATACCTTTTCTCTATCTCTGCAATGCCCTGGTGAAAGCGCTCACCCTGTTCATCACTAACCGCACCGCAGTTATTCGAAAAAAAATCTACATGGGAATCGAGAATATGTATTTTTAAAGGAATGTTGCAACCTGTATATGATAACAACAGTTCCTCTACAAGTTTAGTGTTGCTTTCAGACCTCTTCTTTTCTAGGAAGTTAGTAGGTACTTGTCGAAAATTTATCAGAGATTTCCTTTCGTCACCCGCTAAGGATATTTTCAAAATGTTTTTTCTTGAAGCTATTCCGGATTTATGGCCCTACAGAAATGTCCTCCTCTATTCTTGCTTTGTTTAGCTTTTCCATCCATCGCTTAGAATTAGGTCTAATGAAGAATTTTATTTGCAGTGGTGGTAGTAATATTTTTGTTGGGTCAATCGATGACACATGCAGCACTTTATTTTTTCTTGGTTCCAAGTACTGTCTAGTAGGTCATTCTTTCTTTTTTAAACGAATTGCTTTTGCTCGAGTATTCCATTCACACAAAAAACAGCAGAATTTCATATACACTTGTTGCAACCCTATTAAAAGAGCTGCTATTTTCATATCTGTACAAACTTTCCCTTTTTAGTGTTCGTATTTGATGCACTTTAGGCGATTTTTCAAATTTTCATACGATTCCTTCATATGAACAACGTGGCCAAGCGGAATCAACGGTAAATGTTTTCCGATACGTAACAGAACACTTTTAAGCTAAATGTTGATCCATCTATGAATAATCTCTATTCTTCTGGTTTAAAATTCATATAGAGAGCTCCGATAAACCATTTACGTCTTTGCAAAAATTTAAGTCTCTGTCAGTGTTGAAGAATGGCGTCGAATCTTTCTGACGAGTGTGAAAATGAGTTATCACCACACCTTTTTCCAAAACATCTCACTACTTTAATCTTGACCCTAACAGTTCCACCTTATTATTTGTCAAATCTAGGCCACTCACTAAATCGTTTAATTCGTCTTGACTTATCATGCAAGGCTGTCTGGGTGAAACACTGGCTGCGTAGTCAGGATCCAAAGGTGTTGACGCCATATTTATAACATGAAAAACTTCAGTACTTTTTCCTATTCTGAATCAGATTTATAGGTTTCTGGTGGTTCCAGAATTAGCTAATCATCACAATGGGGTATTGGTCGTATAGCAGATAGTATATTTGGACACATTATAAAGTACGTCTCCGATACACCCATTTCCTGTCCTACAGGAGGTACAAAACTGAAATAAGAAACACTCACATGATCTAAAGCAGCGATTCTCAAGCGGTATCACTAGTGGTACGCAAGAGAAAAATAGGTGGTATTTAAAGAAACAACGTATATTTAAATTTTTAACAAATATTCTTTTAATCATAGACATAGCAAAATTTGTCATAAACGATGTTTTTTTAAAAAAGGTAATGGAAATGGTGTTGTATTTAAGTGGAAATAAAATGAAATGCATATGAAAAGGTAATAGTATCTCAGTAATTCTAGTAGAGCTGATCGATTTATTAACATGTCTACACTTTACATCACCACTATTTCCGAGTATTGCTGTATTTATAAGTTGAATCATTTTTTATTGTGATTTGTTTTCTTTTATAGCAGGTATTTTGCCTCAAATTTAATGTGTTGGTTGCGATGAACTACTATCCGATCAAAGTATGAAACCATCGTTTCTTAAAAGACATCTTAAATCTATGCATGCGAATTTAAAGGATAAATCTAAAGAATACTTTAAGTGGAAATTATCAGAGTTCAAAAATAGTAAACAAGTAATGAAACATTTTCTTACTTTAAATGAAAAAGCTTTGGAAACGAGTTACCTGGTAAGCTTAAGAATTGCCAAGACTGAGCAGGCTCATACTATTGGAGAAAACTTTATACAGGGTGTATCAGTACAGTGATGACAAACTTTCATGAGAGATAGAGTAAATTTAGACGATGGGAAATCACACAGCAATGCATGGTCGAAAACGCTTTTCTGGCGCGGTAGTGACGACACAAAATGCAAAAAGGGAAGGACACAAACAGTGAGACAAAACGTGTTTTATTATGTTTAGTACAGCAGAAGCCAACAAATAAGAACAAAAATAAACAGTGATCGTCATTAAAGAAGGTGTTTGAAATTACGACCTAGGATCGTGATGCAGGCCTAATTTCTCCGGCGCATGGAAGATCTTTATCACGAATGGAAGATCGCATGGAAGATGCATGGCGCACGGTTCCTGCATCAAGTCCAAGTCGTAATTTCGAACATCTTCAATAATGAGGATTGTTGTCTTTTTATGTTGTTTTTTCTTTGTTATTGTTGTATTCCGAATAATAAACACGTTTTCCCTGTTTTCTCACCCCGTTCGTGTCCTTTCTTTCGTAACTTATGTGTCGTCAATATCGGGCCAGGAAAGCGTTTCCGACCATGCATTGCTATGTGATTTCCCATTGCCTAAGTCTCCTCTATCTCTCCTGAAAGTTGGTCAACGCTGTACTGATTCACCCTGTATTACCAGCAGCTAAAGATATCATTTTACAATTATTCAACGAAAAAGCAACTAATGAATTTAATAATATTCCGTTATCAAATGATATAGGAAGTCGACGAATTCATGAAATGGCAAATTCCATAAAAAAGACATTTATTCAAAAAATAAAATACAGTGAGTATTTCGCAATGCAGTTGGATGAAAGTACTGATATAGCGAACATTGTTCAATTATTAATTTACGTACGTTTCGAAGAAGATCAACAAATTTCGGAAGACTATTTATTTTGTGAATTCCTTCACAAAAGAGCAACTGCAAATGAATTGTTCTAAGCAACTGCCAATTTTACGTCTGACAATTATATTCTTTGGAATAAGTGCATTGCCGTATGCAGTCACGGAGCACGAGCTTTAGATTCTCGGTGTTATTTCTCAAATAAAGAAATTCTCCCCTGAAATTAAATTTACTCACTGCTCCATTCATCGCGAGGCTTTAGCAACCAAAATAATCCCTCAAACCTGAAAATCGTTTTGAATTAAGCTTGTGAAAATTGTTAAAAATATTAAAAGCCGAGTTTTAAATTCAAGAATATTTACGATTTTATGCCAAGAGATGGAGAGTGAATAAGAAACGCTTTTGATGTATTCCGAAATAAAGTGGTTATCCAGAAGCAAAATTTTAAATCGTCCTTTTGAACTTCGATCAGAAATTCAAATTTTCCTCTGTGGTTCAGAGTTTGAATTGCAAAAATGTTTAATTAGTGAATTATGGTTGTCGCGTTTAGCATGTTTAGCTGATATTTTTAGAAAGTTAAATGAATTAAATTTAGGATTACAAGGACAAAGTCTTAATTTTTTTACCATTAGATGTAAAATAAACGCAATGATAAAAACTCGAAATATTAATTAAAGAATTAGATAATAATATTTTACGCTTTTGACCACTTTTAGAAAGTTTTCTAACTGAAAATATTTTGAAAATAAAAGAATTTACATCCGACATTAAAAATCATTGTTTTTCATTGATAAATCATTTCAACATGTATTTT